GAGGAGGAGGAGGAGGAGGAGGAAGCAAGCAAGAAAGAAATAGAAATGACATTTGTTCTTTCACTAGAATTGGGTGATTTATTTGAAGACTTCCAAAAACTGCCATACATTTTGTATTAGACAAAAGGGGACCAGGGTTTCAATATTCCTCATCATTCCAAAGCTACTTGTTCACTTATTTCCAGCTGTTGTTTATGTTGGCTTGTGTGTGTGTGTGTGTGTGTGTGTGTGTGTGTGTGTGTGTGTGTGTGTGTGACAGGATCTCATGTAGACCGACCTCAAACTTATGTATCAGAGGCTGGCCTTGAATTTCTGATCTTCTTTCCTATATTTCCAAGTGCTGGGATTACAGATGGGTGTTGCCTTGGCTGGATCTGACCGCTTTTACTGACCATTTCAGAATGTAGGACACCCTTTATTGGGATTTAGGAATACAGGGGTGGGCAGAGAAGACAAACCACTCTGTTTACAGGAAGCTGGCATTCTGAATGGCCAGGGAGAGATACAATAAACAACAGAATAATCAAACCAGGGGATGGTGAGCCTGGGGAGAAAATGAAAATGAAAACAAAGAGGACATGGTGCTGGCAGGTGGAGAGTCATTTGGAACGTGATGATAAGGGGTCTAGGAAAAGGCTCAGTCAATAAAGTACCTGCTTCACAAGCATGAGGCCCTGACTGAGTTCAATCTGCCCCACGGATATAAAAAGCCAGGCATAGGAGTACGCATGCATAATTCCAGCACTGGGGAGGCGGAGACAGGAGAATTCCTGGGTCTCACTGACCAGACAGCCTAGCCTAATTAACAAGTTCCAGGCCAGTGAGAGACCCTGTCTCAGAAAAATGGTGTTCCTGAGGATGACACATGAGGTTGTCCTCTGGCCTCCACATGCATCCACACTCACACACCCCCTCATTTGAAAAAAGACCTCCTGAAGAAGGGTGGGGAGGTGAGGAGGACTCAGCAAAGGAGACTGAGGAGGAGGAGCCAGGGCAGTGGAGGACCTAGGGGAGGAGGAATGTGTGTGTTGGGGGGTTGATGTCACAGAGGCCAGGGAGCATGTGCCAATGGGAAGGAAGGAGCCATGCTTAGGTTTCATCATGCAGAGCTGAGAAAGGAAGAATGGAACCTGAGACCACTGGGACCTTGTTTAGAGACATGTGGGGGGAATTCATAGAGAATAGGAGGGGCAGAATTAGAAACAGGGTGTGCAAACACTTTTGAAGAAATGAAATGGAAGCTGGAAGGGGTTGTGACCAACAGTTTCTTGGTTTTCTTTGTCATTTGCTTCTCTTAGGGGAAAATGGGAGTAACAGCAGCAATTGTGCTGACAGGAATGGTCCAGCAAAAGGACAAAAAGCTGATGGGGAGACAGAATTTCTGCTGGCAGTGGGAAGGACCGTTCCTTCCAGACAGCGGGCCTAAGGCATCTTGTCTGAGTGAGGTTGCAGGAGGTGCTTGTGCAGTGGAGGTGGGGGAAGGAATTAGGGAACTTCTCTTCTGGTTCTTTGTCCCTCATATAGCCTGGAGTAAGGCCCTGTACTAAGGGGTGGGAGAGGGAGGGACTGGCATGAATGGTCACCTAGCAGACGATAGGGGCCCATGAGAGGTCCAGTGGTCATCTTTTGGTTCAGTGGCCTGTGGAGGGTGTCTGAGAGTGGTGCTGCTTTACCACACCCAAGCCATCAATACTACTTTGTTTTTTTTAATAGGTGCTCTTGGGGCTAGACCCTGACTCTGAGACAAGATTAGATTTCTATCTAACCCTTGTGGTCAATTCTTGAGACAAACAGCCCAATCTCAGTGTTTCATTTCCTCTTTCTGGAGGGAATCTCCCCACCCCACTCCCCCTCTGCCTGACTGGGGTAAACATGCTTTTTAAAGAAGGCAGGGAGCCTCCACCTCGTAAGGGCAGAGCCAGCTTGGGATCTCTGGTTAGGGTGGAAGGCAGGGATGGGAGGTCATCAGGAAGTACCTTGTAGGAGTAGCTTTTGAAGTGGGGTGTTCGGCAGCATCTCCTTTGAAATTTTTGGAGAGCCTGGAGCTGCAGTCATTCTTGGTGATTTTAATTTATAAATTCATTTTATAAGAAAAATTTAAAAGGAAATCCGTGCACATGGTATAAACTTCAGAAGGGATGAAATGCTATGCAAAATCTTCCTCCCTCCTCTGGCCTTCCTCTGTGGGGTTCTGGAGGCTCTAGAGGGAGGTCTCCAGAGGCAACCATTTCTGACAGTTCCTTGGGTATGCATGGATAATTTTAGTGAAGACTGAAACAGTAAGGGGAGGGTGTGTGGGTAGACCCATCTCCGCAGGCTGGAAATACTCACTCAGGAAACTGGGTGTCTATAAAATTCTTAGGCACATATCCTTCTTGGCTTCCAAGCTCCGCCTTGAGCCACTCCTCCTGGTTACTTAAGATCTGCAGGGATGAGAATGAAGGACAAAGGTATTGCTGGGAGGTTGGGGCTGCAGGCAAAGATGAAAACAAGCCCAGCAACCAGACATCCTGTCTAGGGCTTACCCCTGGGGGAGTAGGGAGCCCACAGCTTTAAGTTCTTGAGTTTGGCTTCTTTCTACCCTATTATTTGTCTCCACTTGTGCTAGCCACTCATAGCTTGACCTCCCAGACGTCCTGGATCCTGGTCTCCTGTTTTGGAAATTCCTTTGTCCCAGAATTAGCCCCTTTGGTGCTCCTAGATCTAGGCAGATCAACAGCCACTGGTTACTCCATGGTTTGCTTCTCCTTCAGGTACCCAGGAAACCTTCAATTTTTTTATTCTTTTTACGTTTATTTACTTGTTGTGTGTGTATGTGTGCCGAGGTAAGCATGTGGTCAGAGGACCGCCTACACCAGTCAGTCCTCATCCTTCCACCATGTGGATCCTGGGGATGGAAATCAGGTTGTTACTTTCAGTGGCACCTTTACCCCTGGAGTCATCTCACCAACCCTTAATTTTTATTTTTACTTATTTATTTTTTTTGGAACAGCTCTTACAGAGTTAAGGATGGCTTTGAACTCTTTTTTAAAAAATATTTTATTATTTTTATTTTGTGTGTATGAGTGGTTGTTTTGACTACATGTTTTGTCTTTTTTTTGTTTGTTTGTTTGTTTTGAAGCAGGGTCTCCCTGTAGCCCCAGCTGTCCTGGAACTCATTATGTAGACCAGGCTGGCCTTGAACTCACAGAGATCTGCCTGCCTCTGCCTCCCAAGTGCTGGGATTAAAGGCGTGTGCCACCACGCCTGGCATTGTTTTGTCTACATGTATGTAAGTGACCCATGTCATGCAAAGACCACAGAGATCAGAAGAAGGCATCAGATCCCCTTGAACTGGAGTTACATTCAGTGGTTAGCTGCCATGTGTGTGCGGGGAATTGAACCTGGGTCTTTTAGAAGAACATTAAGTGTTCTTAACTGCTGAGCCATCTCTCCAGTCCCAGCTTTGAACCCTTGATCCTCCTGCCTCTACCTTCTAAGTATTGGGGTTGTAGGGGTGTGCTACCGTGCCTGACCAAAATTTATTTTTTATTGTCTTTTTTTTTTAATGTATATGAATATGTTGCTTGCATGTAGCTAGGTATACCTTTGTCATGCAATGCCTGCAGAGGTCAAAGGAGGGTGTCAGATTTTCCTGGAACTGGAGTTACAGACGGTTGTTAGCTACCATGTGAGTGCTGGGATTTGAACCTGGGTCCTCTGCAAGAGCACCCAGTGCTCTTAACTGCTGAGCCATCTCTCCGGCCCAAAATTAATTTTTTTAAACAAGTAGATTAAAACTTAGATATTCAAGTAAGAATAGCTTTATAAACTGTAAGACTCTGTATTCCCATTCTGTATTTCAGAAACAGTTGGAACAAGATTCAAAATGCTTGTGATGACAGTGTGGGTATGGTATCTCATACTTGTAATCTCAACACTCAGGAAGGTGAGTCAGGAAGATTTCTGTGATTTGATCATCAACCTGGGCTATGTAGTGAGTTCCAGGCCAACCTGGGCTACAGAGTGAGAGCTTCAAAGTGAGAGAAAGAGGGGGGAGGGGCCTGGGATACCTTTTATAAATTCGGAGTTAGAGCATAAACAAAACCAAGAGTTCTGTTGCATTACCATAGGGCCTTCCTTGACTGGTACTCACATGTGTCACCTGTCTTGGTTGCTCACATTATTCACCAAACTTGGCTCTGTGTGGCTTCACTGATTTCAGGAAACAAGACATCATTAAAAGAAAAGTGTTTGCCACCTCCAGTGGAATTTTTCTAAAGTGTGTGTCCTAGACAGAATAACAACGCTGAGGGTGGCAGCACAAGAGACTTGAAGGACTTCGATGGTCCTGGATGGCCACCAACTGCTGAAGTCACCTTCCAGCTGCCCTCCCCCTTCTGAACATGGAGGAATAGTAACTCCTTACTGTTGCTTAAGTTACGATCCCTTCTTGTGGCTGAACATGTCTTCATGGGTTGAGAGGTCAGGATGGAGGGTATTACAGAGGACAGCTAGAAGGACTGCCTGGAGGAGAGGCCACCTGCCGAGGCAGTGCAATGAACTCCTCTGGCCAAGTGTGATGTCAAAGAACCACTTTGGTGGTGCATTCTGGGAGTTCAGAGCCCTTAGTCTGGCTGGGGTTTAGCTTGTAGCTGGAGAAGTAAGAAGTGTATGGCCTGGTGACCCATGTTGAAAAGTTCATATTTTTATCTTGAGATTTTTATAGCGAACCGGGAAAGGATTTTAAGCCAGGAAATAACAGTAAGAATGAGAGTTAAGAGAGAGCTCTGTATTAGAGTGTGAAGATGAGCTGGGGGTGGTGTAAAGACAGGGGAGGAACTGAGGGAAGATGGCTGTAACACCTCCCCGCCACCCCCCAGGCAACCGACGATGAGGCCTAGGTTAAAATGAGGCCTGGGTATATTCCAGGGGATCCGAGGAAGCAAAACCAGGCAGGATTTTGTGACCATTTAGAGGAGCTGAGGGAGAAGGGGATTCTGGGAAGACTCTGGATTTCTAGCTCCGGAGACCAAGTGGGTGGCAAAGTCTCTACTGAAATAGAAAGGAGGAGGAGGAGCAGGAAGGACTTGTGGGCTTCTGCTTGTACACAGGTGAATTCAAGTTGAATTCTTCATCTGCGAAGAAAAGCTCAGTGAACTGTGGTCGTACGTGTTGGACTCAGGAGAGAGGCGGGGACTGGAGACATTCAGAAAGGGGAAGAGTTGAAATCTTGGGTCCTATGGGTTCCTCTCCCATAGCAAAAACTGTCAATAGTTTCTTCCTCCCTCCCTCCCTCCCTTCCTTTATCGAGGTCTTCTATATCTCAGACTCGCTTCCAACTCCCTACAAAGCTGAGGATGACCTTGGATTCCTGATCCTCCTACCTCCATTCCTGAGTGCTGGGATCACAGGTGTGCACCGCCACACCCAATTTATGCTGCGTTGAGAATCACATCCGGAGCTTCCTGCATCCTGGGCAAGTGCTCTACCAACTGAGCCACATCCTCAGCCCTGGTGCCCTACTTCTAATGTCACTGCTGGGGTAGAAAAAAGGGGAGACCGGGGCTGGAGAGATGGCTCAGCGGTTAAGAACACTGATTGTTCTTGCAGAAGACCGGGGTTGGAATCCCACCACCCACATGGCAGCTAACAACTTTCCTAACTCCAGTCCCAGGGGATCCCTCGGCCTCTTCTGACCTCCGCGGGCATTGCACGACACAGGTGCACTTACCTACATGTAGGCAATACACATTAAAAAAAAAAAAAAGTTTAAAAAAAAAAGGGAGACCGCCACCAGGGTGGAACAAGAAAGCTTGGTTTCTCCTGGGGCTGAGGGGAGGGTGCAAGGAACTCTGGTACCTGAATACCCTTCTGGCAGTGTATATTATTTTTAAAAAGTTACGTTCTGTCCAATGCAGTATCTTTATGAGGAAGGATTCTGGTTCTGAAGGACATGGAAGGGTTTCTTAGTTCTTTCAGTGTATGTTTGGGATGTAATCATTCGTTCTAAAGCGTGTCCCATATTTGAGGTTGAGAATTACTGAGAACAGAAAACTTTATAGTTTCTAACATCAAATGTGGCTGTGGGTATCGCTAAGGATGGGTGTGGGTCTGTGCATGCTGAGGGGAGCCAAGAGGGTGGGGAGCACACAATCTAGGTCAAGGGAAGACTCCGTAGAGGCATCTTCTTTCTACTTAAAAAGAGAACATTTCTCTCCATGCACTGCTTCTGAACGGACAGCTTTGGAATTCGTTTTTCCTCTCACAAGGGAGCTCGGAGTTTGACCAGGGTAGCCAATGTCAAATTCAAAGAGAGCAGGGTTGAGGTCAAAGACGCCATTTAGAAATTGGCTTATCACAGTACGAATCATACTTTTACTTCATTCTCTGACCCGTAACAAGCTGCAATCTTAGTAATCGTGGCTAGTACTCATTAGACTGCCTCCTCTGGAAACTGAAAGATTATCCAGACGCCAGCCATTTGTCCCCACCACCTGGGGCTTGGTCAGCTTGTGATGGTGTTTCTAGAGAGGTGAATTTATAGGCTTTTTTATGGTGTATAGAAGGTTTAAAAAAAAAAATCTCATTTTCTGCAAAGCAAAGTTTTTTGGGGGGTGGGAGGGGGAGGTGGTTTCCTCCAGCGGTTATGGGCCCAGAACCCATAACTTCCTGAACTTCCTGTTCTCATCTCTCGGTCGACTCAGTCCCCCTATATCTCTTGTACATCATGTAAACCTGAGCAAGGAGTCCACCCAGACATGAAGTTCTTCCCTTACAATGTTCTTACAATGTTCCCTAAGAGAATAATCTTCTGGGTTACGTGGCCTGAGAATAAGTTAGATGTGGGAAGGGAAAGACCAAAAGTACAGCTGGGGGAAAAAAAAAAAAAAAG